AATCTGTTGCTGTAATTATTGAGCTACTTGAGTTCCTTGCAAAAGAACTTAAGTATTAGTATTACTGCCCTTGGAATTCATAGTAATAAATTAAAACGTATGGACTTGTGAATTTTACTTAATTGAAAGTGACTCATTTCAAAAAAAACAGAACAATTTAATGTTTACCAACTGAAAAATGTGGAAGGAGTTAAACCTGGGCTTCTATGAAGTTGCACTAGGAAATAACATAACGTGGCTTTCAATTGTGCAAAATTAAGTCGTCTTAAATAATGAAGAGCAAGAACATGAGGGGGGGAAAAAAAACCACAACCAAACAAAAAAGACCCCTAATGCTCCAACAAATTTTAATTATAATGAACCCTGGATCTGTTGTGCCAAAACGAATCACGTAGCTAGTTATCAGTTGCTTCTCAATAGGCTGCTATTACTTGTTTGCTTCCTATAGCATTTGGGATCTTAAGCACAGTTAGTAAAACACTTGTCAGCTCATATGTTACACTGAGCAATTAGCAGGGAAAGACTAAGAGGGCTTTTTAATATCATTTGGTTTTATGTAGATAAAGGCAACAAGTCCTCTCTCCAGGGGGAAAAAAAAACCCCAACACATCTACTTGCTGTAATTACTCCATTACTTGTATGGAGTGCTTGCCTGCTAGCATAGATAAGACTTAGAAAACATGCATTTACTTTTTATGGAGGGTCAGCAGTGCACAGATTTAGTTAAGTTTAGCGATCCAAAATGTCAATAAGCAAAAGAATACAAACTACACACATAGGAAACACTTAATGTTTCAGTAACTACTGGATTTGTAGAATCTCTATAGGAAAATAGCTGTTATTGAGGTCATGAGCAGGAGAAAAGTTTCTAAGAGCAAATATATAGTTACATTGGCAAGCTAGGGACTAAACACAATCTAAGCTGAAAAGAAACATGAAAAGTGAGAGTCTTCTCATAGCTAAATGGGACAAAAGTATTTGTCTCCATAAAGCCAAATTTATTACAAATGATGGACTTAATGACTTTGTTGTTCTATGCTCTTTCACAACCTCTTAAAGTAAAACCTAGCTTCAAAGCTAAGTACAACTCAAGGAATCCTGGTATACAGCCAAACTGTAAAGAGTGGTATTGGGTAACTAATAAATATTTTATAACAGTGGTGAATAATCTTGTAGCATTCTGACAAGATGGTCACTCCACTTGACAAATCTGTGTTACAAATTAACTTATTAGCAACTGATGTGTGTATTTCATATTCAGAAGAAGTAGATGTAGTATGTGAAACAGGATCCTGGTTAGTGCCAATTCAGTACGGAAAAGAGAACAGTTCTGAAGATAACGGCATGTTTTAAATAATGAATCAGTTACTTTGTACCTAAGCTCCTAACTCTGTTTTAAAGGCATAAATGGAAATTCTAAGCTGAGGAAAATATTGTGGAGTTTGCTAACGTATTTCGTGCATTAAACAACAGCTGTTATATATGACCGTGGAACTGAAGGTAGGTAGAAGCAGCAGCAGCTATTTTAACTGTTCTATGATTTAACTTGTTATGGCAGATAATTGATCTGATGGAGTAATCATGTTAATACTTAGAATTTACTGTGTATTTTATATTCTTCCAAGATGTACCCAGCTAACTGTCAGGAGAATTACAAGGATTTGTTAATTAAGTCACTGTTATCCTTGTTTTAAAACAAGGGGGTATAGCTGTGAGTATTTGGAGTGGTTAATCGCACAGTGAATGCAGCAGAATCAGGATTAGAACAGGAGTCTCTTGTTTCCTGACCCTGTTTTAATTAACCTGGCATTCTTCCCTGTCTAGACCATTCTGTATTTAATTTTTAATCCCATTTCTATTGACGTAAGCTAAACCCACACATTTTGATAGAAGAGTAGAAGTAGTATCATTTTGACAGAAGTAGTAGTAGTTTTGCTGGCTGCTTCTGTAGAATTTTACACCATGTGCTTATTTTCCAAGCCCCTTTTATCTTAAGACATCTATTTCTGTCCTGGTTGCTCCAAATAGGATTGTTATCTTTGCATCTACTTACAGCCTGTTGCTTGAATTTAACCTTACATTACTTGAAGCATGGTTCTTTAAAGGCAGAATTTGCTTTAGTGTGCTTCTACGCAATGGCTTTTGTTACAGATGGCATATTAGATATGAGAATAAACTTTCCATACTCACTGATGTGGTTGGAGAAAGTGCAAAAATATATCAATCTTGCAGAACAGATTAAGCATTTAACTACTGCTTAAAAAGTAAAAATTACTCAGGTTTTCTTCTGGGGCAGAGAAAATGGCACATAGGTAACTGTGCTTGGACTCTCAAATAACCATCAGAACCGCATGGTGAAGTAGCCCAGCTGATGAATTTTGCTCTTCTGTGTGGATATTATTCAGACCTTCGCTGGCTTAGGAAATCTATGAATTCTGGGCGATCTAACGCTATGAAATCCCTCCCTGGGACTCCTCCCTGGTGCAGGAAGTGAAGATGAGTAGAAACTAGAGCAAGCTAGGGAGGAAAATAGGAAGTTCGAAGTTCAGTTCACAGCTGTGCTACAAGCACTGTTACTTGCTGTGTAACTCTTGAAGTTTGGACGGTAAGCTCCCCAGAATCTAAGGAAAGGTTTGTTTGAATAGGAAGATGGTGACATTGCCTCAGGGGCAGGCAGCCTCAGCAGCCCCTACTGAAGAAGGGGATTTCCTCCATGAGGAGAGCGGGCAGTGGGATAAACCAGACACTCATGGCCGCCAAAACCAAGAACTCTCCTGTAGAACAATGCGTGGGAGGAGCGGGTTGCCCCTCTGCTTTGCAGGATTCCTAGATAATATGTACTACCCTGTACGCTGACTCTCATCACTTACTCTGTGCGCTTTCTTTGAGCGAGGTGGCTCTGGAGCCAAGCATATCCGTTGCACCTCCGGCCTGCTGTGCTCTGGTTAGGTACGGCCGGAGAGCTACTGCTGATCCGCTAACTTTATCTGCCTTCCCCTCGCTGTTGCCGCTCTCCCTCAGCGCCCGGGGAAACCCCGCTCCCCGCCTCTCCTCACAACGCCGCCCGCCCCGGCGCGTGCGCGGGAGAGGAGCGGAGGGGGAGGCGGGCAGCGGCAGCTCTCGCGAGATTTGGGGCGGGGGCGGGGTTGAACTGCGGGGGGGGGGGCCGCGGCGGGCGGGGGCGGGGGGG